TAATTTACCCTTAAACTCATAGAAGCGATTAACATGTAACCTCTTCCTATGATAGCCATACATAATCTAGCTTACAGGTAACGAGGATATTAAAACTCAACAGGTAGAAGTTTGGTGTCTTGATTTTGCACCAAATTCCCCAAACAAATGTGTAGCAACTGGAGGGGAGAGTTAATAATCAGATTTTAGGATTAAAGGGTTTGTGCAATACATTAAAATGAAATGAAGAAAGTAACCAGCAAAATACTGAAAAATACATCAATACACGGAGATATGCGATCGTTTCAAATAAAGAACTTTGAGGAAGGAAACAACGAAAGCATTGATAGAGGAAAATGAAAATGGATTGGACTTGCATCACCCGTACCGCCCTCGAATGGAACCATCAGGCTTTCAGAACGAGAGACCGTCCAAAGCTGTCTTGGAACTGTAGTATGCAAGATAAGCCCCCTGAAAAAAAACATCACTGGAACAATTCAGAGACCTGCCGATAATATAATCCTATTACAGACTATCACAGCAGGAGCAGGGATGTCCAAATCCAACTACACGGAAACCTTATTACCAAACTATAAATCTAGTGAGGTGTTATTAGGGATTTGGATATATTAATCATAATAAACTTAGGTGCAGCCTTTCCTTACATCTAGGCAGCTCGGAAAGCCGCAAAACTCTAGAAGAGAAATTCATCTTTTAAACCAGCACTCTTAATCCCCACGCTATCAACGAACGCTTTTCATTCAACTCATTTATTCTTGATTTTCTCGTTAGCATGTTCCCACCCACGGCGAAGTTCTATTTTCACACTCAACCCATACTGAATTCTTCTTTTCGCTCTGACCAAGGGCTAACGCTCGAAACGTCAGCTTTGAAACTCTTTAACGGTGGCCAATTTACATTATTAGCTCAGTTGATAAAACCAAAATTCCCTTGTTAGGCGAATTCATGTTTGGCCTAACTTACATAAAGATGAACATACACATGAAGAAGAACGAAGAATACTGAGCAACGCAATAGTCCATTTTACATTTGCTTGCTTGGTTGCCAAGCCTTTGAATAGAAGTGAGGCTAAAGGTGACCTTGTTATGACACAAACGTTGCTGCTTTTTAAATATAAATTACTTTGTTATCATGCTAACCATGGACTCAGGTCTCTATCACAACAAGGACACCTTCAGTCTCTCTCCAAATCAAAGGCTTGGCTACTAACTGTCAAGTGGTCTATTCACGCGTGAAGGTGAAAATCCATTTTAACACCTTTCTGTTCGTTCTCCGCCCAAAATATGGTTCTCAAACTTGGATTTACCTTCTCTTACATGTCAAATCAGCTAACCTAGGCTTTGCGTGCATGTAGCTTTTAATATAAAAAAAAATTGTGTAAATAATAACTTGAACAGAAACTCAGTGACGAAAGACACAATTGAAACGATATTACCCAGCTTGAGCAAAGTGAAGTTATTAAATTCGATTGATTGGCATCTCTTGAACGATACATGCAGAGAAAGAAGGACGCAGTTTTAGTGATAAATTCAAGACTTTGTTGAAGACATAGACCTTCCACAAAGGAACAAGGATAAGTCTGCAAAAACGGTATCACTGCGGAAAAGGGAAAAAGGTTTTCAATTCTACGTGCTTGCTTAAAAGAACCTTAACCTAATATGTAAACTTTCCATTTCCGAGCCGAGCAATAAAGTTTATTGGTTCAGAATCGATGACAACTAGATCCGGCTTCTTTAAAAGATTAATTTGGTAAATGAAAACTTTCTCCAAAGAACCAAAAAAATGTACCATTTAGATTCCAGGATAAATTTCACCGCTCTTCATTTGAAGGGGAATTTTATCCGGTAGTCAATTTGTCTTTACAAAAGTCAGTAATTAGAACATCTCTAAAAAAGATAAAGTAAACAAGGCCTTTTCCTGACCGAAGCAAAGTGCATTTCACTTAAAGACAGATCTCTGATATTACTGATTGTTCAGTTTTAATTTCAAGTAGGAACTTTAATTTCTCCGGCAGTCACAGTTTTGTATGCAAAGACAAACAATTGATATAACATCATCTAGTCGGGTATTACACCAGAAAGAAGGAACCTCTCAGGTAGCACACTACATTGTCAGATAATTTCAACAATCTGTGAAATTTTACACGTTTACATCCATGTATAACTCTACAAACTCGAGCCACAAGGCCAAACTAGGCGATAAATTTCACGCCGACGTCTACACTGTCATCTGCGTCCTGAACATCGTGTTTTCCTTGTCGGCATTTTTAGGGAATTTCTTAGTTCTCGGCGCAGTTTGGAAGACACGAACCTTACACCAGCCAACGAATTTGCTCGTCTCTGGACTCGCTTTGTCTGACTTGGGAGTTGGAGTTCTAATTCAGCCATTATTCACTTTGTTTTTGATTTTGGAAATAAGATCAGGGGGATATTCTCCAGATCAGTGGAGGATCTTTAGATCTGCGCAAGCCATTTTTCAGTCGGCGACTGTTCTGACGCTAACTTTGATTAGCATAGACAGGTATCTCGCTCTCCAGCTGCATTTACAGTACGTTTCCATCGTTACTATGAAAAAGACAGCCACCTCACTGTGTTTTGTATGGGTTACAAGCGCTTTCTGTGCAACAACGGTTTTTATCGACAATGAGTTATATCGTAACTTCTCCATCACACTTATACTGTGGTGCCTCGTGATAAATTTTTTCATGCACTTGATAATCCATCGCATTTGTGGCCGTCACCGAGTCCAGATTCAAACTCAATTACGAGCACAAAACGGGCCAGAAACCGCTAATATTAAACGCCACTGGAAATCTCTTATCACCATGATTTTCTTGTCAATTTTGCTCATGGCGTGTTATTTTCCTTTCATTGGTATGCGTACTGTTGTGAACTTCGTCGATTGGTCATCAACGCTCAAGAGGTTTCTAATGAGGTGTACTCTCTTTTTTGTTTATTTGAACTCTTCTCTCAATCCGCTAGTCTACTGCTGGCGTATGAGAGCGATGCGTTCTGCTGTAAAGCAGTTTTGGAAATCTCTTCGCCACTGAGAGCGCTTTGAGTGAGTCTACGACAGCCTAAAAGCTAAAGAGGCTATGTGCACGTATAAACTGCGGGGCGCCTCATGACGAAACCATCATTTTTTTGCAACCGTTTTAGTAGATTTTTCTAACACTCAGTTCAAATTTTTTATTTCTTGGCTCGAACTCTTAATACAGTGTGTTTCTTCCCGGGACTAGCTCAGCCTCGGCTTTACTCAAAACAATTTCACTTATTCCGTTTAGTACAACTCAACTCTGCTCTAGTCTGATCTATCTCTGATTGAAAAATGCTGCGCACCAGCTTATAAAGGTGACACTAAAGATAACACTACTAAGCTGTCAATCTTCTTGCATCGTCATCGTTCTATTTAAGCCAGCGAATCACGTTACGACAGATCCTGCACACTAAGTATGCGCCTTCGAGTTGTTTACGCAGTTACAAATCATTTTCTACCTTAATTTTCTTACTTTCAGGATTAAGATCGGCCAGAACAGAAACAAGATTGATAATATAAAAATTATAATTAATCTATTGGCAGAATTAGAATCATACTTGAAAAGATATCTTACGAGAAAATAGCCTTAGAAGATTGTTACATAACAACAGAATAAACAGAAAATTCGGGGAAGAAGGGGCGATCGCGAGTACCGCCCCCAGAAATACTATGTGGTCTTAACTAATTTAAAATTCAGCGCGGAGATGAAAAGGCATAAGCTGTTTACACTCAGGGTTACCTTTAAGAAAGAGGTGTTGAAGGTGCTTAATTAAAATTTCAGAAATATTCCTGGATCGCGAGTTTGACATAGAATTTGATCCAAAAACGAGTCTGAAAATATTCAAAAGTATAAGAAGTAGGAATTTCCAGGAATTCCTGTACGAGGTTAACTTTTACCAGAGAGATTTACTCTCCTTCTTAACCAGAAAATTGACATAATTAAAAACATAGCTTACCACAAATACTACAACGAGTTCTAATCACCATAGAAACTGAACATCTGCTTCGAAGCCAAATTCAAAACCACAATAAGAAAAAGGTAAAAGAAACTGTACTTAGATGAGACCGCCAAAAGGAATAAGAAATAATCGACCGCCTCCTGGTTAGTTCAATGGATAGAGCGCTGGACTGTTGTGCGGGAGGTCGAGGGTTCGAGCCCCGGCCGGATCAACACTCAGGGTCTTAAAATAATTGAGAATATTTGCTACCTTTCTATGACATCAAGAAATGATTAGATATTCTATTCTTTTCGGATAGGGACAAATAAATGGAAGTCCCGTCTCCTGCAGGGTTAGGGGTAGGAGACGTTAATTTCCCACGCATGAGATTACTGTGTGATGGATGTCCTCCCCTGGGGTGGGATGGGTGGGTTAATAGAGGGCCACAGGATTATCAGTTTAATTACTGTCACGTGCTACCCTCTTGAAATAAAGTCTCTCTCTCTCTCTCTCTCTCTCTCTGCTTGCTATAATTTTTTTTTGCGTCGAATGGCTTAAAAAATAGTATTTCCATTCCTTTCCCATTACCAATATAAGGAAACCCTTACAATATTTCAGATTAAATATAGCTCTATTTTTGTTGTTTAACAAATATCCTGGGATAATACTCTGTCTAGTAGTAAATTATCGAGGGCGTAGCTAGCATTTTTCTGATAGGGTCACTGTTACCGCTGCTCGACATGGTGTATCAGGAGGGTCATATCAATGTCGTGGGAAGGATCGACAAACGGAGGACTGAGCACTAGCAAAGATTTACGAAAGGAAGACTCTGATTTGCTTGTTTTTGCTAATCTGGAGGTGCGTGTGGGGGAGGAGGGGGAGGGGGGTCCATACCATAGGCATGTCAGGTGTGCGTGTGGGGGAGGAGGGGGAGGGGGGTCCATACCATAGGCATGTGAGGTGATCGATTGATCACCGCTCCATTTGTTTTATAAATCTTGGGCGCGGTCTTAAGGTAGCCAGCTCTAGTGTGATAATCAAGAATGACTTGGCTTTGTTTATTGATGTCTAGCGCAGAGTAAGGAGTAAGCAGATTTCTTTGGGGCTTGTTTAACTAAAACTCAGCCTAAGGTGAAAGATCAAAATAATTATAACCTTAAAGCAAAACATTTGGCCGTGCTTGGCGCCACTGTACAAATCAGGGTTTCACTTTGAGATTTCAACCTTTCGCAGTTTCAAAGACACCTGTTCCTCTTTAAGCCATGCCTACCAACTGAAAAAAATGCCTTGGAGTCGCGAAATTGTACCGGCTTAGTTTTAATTACAAGTTATAGATAATTTGAAGTTGCTGGTGCGACTCGAATTCACTCCATCAGACAACATTCTGCAGGCTTAGATGTGACGACCTACTCGATTCATCCTGTAATCCCCGAATGACCAGCCTCTCCGCCATTAAGGGGCTGTCAGTGTCTGTCATTAAGCCTCTTTCTTCTAAAGACGCTTCACCGCCGGCGCGTCGCGGCGAAAATGGGGCTCGGGAAGTGCGTAAACTTGTGATCCACGCATACAAGGAACCAAAGCTGCACGAGGGCCCCAGATACCGCTGGCCAACCTTACAGGCTAAGACGAGGCCGATAACAAGGACTATTAAAGTGAACAATATGAGGGAAAGTGTGAAGGGCGCAGTCGACGGAGGTACTGTTGTCTTTGGTTTGAGCACAGGAATCAAGATTTTAGGACTCTCGGTGGGGTCTGGAACGGGAACAAGCCCTTCAGGAAACAAACCATTCACGTTAAACCATATCGCTTTGAAGTAGGACTTAGTTGGGTTTGACGAGTAAAAGTTCACTGTTGTTGCATTTGTGATGGACCGAGAGAGGGGCGGAGTGCGCTTGCCACTAAATCGACAAACAGATTTGCTCTCCTTGCAGCGGCAATTCTCATTTCTGAAATCCCAAAATCTTACTTTTTCCAGTGTCACAAAATCTTGAGTACATCTCTCAGGTAAGGTGAAGTTTTCAAAAAGCAACTTGATGTAAAAGCCCTTATCTTCAGTCTTAAGTGTCCAAGTACAATTCACAATCGCATCAGATCGATTTTGCTGGAACATATTGCTGGTTATGACACCTGTGGCTCTTCCAGTCACATTGATAAATCTTTCACCACAGAGATCCTGACAAAATCCTGGAGAAAAACACATCACATGATTACCGGCAAATTCCAAATATTTGGATTATATCTGCCCATTCAGTCTTTATCATGATCATTATTACTATTCTTGTTATTATTATTATAGTTATTATTAAGACATTACAGGAGCAGAGTCAAAAAGGGGAGCCAACACTGCCCCTAATGCATGGCTGGAGATAGTTCCCAAGGGATTCTGGGCGAGGCAGAGGTATGCTAGTTTTTTCATTTGCCACCCATATGCAGACTCCACCAGAGATGTGGATCCAGACAAGATATTTTGGCGGCACAAAATAGAGAAGAAGCGCCTGTACGCTAGCCTAGTGTTATAGTGGAGTACTACATCCACACCATTAGTTTTCAACATAACAGGTGGAATGGCAGTGGATCGTCAATGATACCATGGTAAACTTGCTGAGCTAGTAGCTACAAAGAAGGGCCAAAGCTATGTGAAAACCATATCATGGCTCAGGGCAAGAGTGTCCTTTGCACTGCTGAGGTCAGCATTACTTTGCTTAAGAGGTTGGCAAGCTTTTAGGAGAGTCAATTTAGAATTCTTGGACATCGATTTGAACATTGAAAAAGGACATGCAAATACTCAGTAAGGCATTCAAAACACCATTTCTTGATTTATCTTCGAACCATGAAAATAATAGCAAATGAAAGCTTTCTTTTAGAAAAAGCACTAATAAGAAAGGATTGATAAATTTTCTCCCATTAGTTTGTTAGTAAATATTTTTTTATAAGAAATTATTGTTTTGTAGAAATTTAGAAATAAAAATTTTTTATTACCAGTTATTAATAAGATTGATTAATTTTCAAGAACTACCCTTAAAAGTTGATTTTACTAATGTAATATTTGTTATTAGGCTTAATTATAACTATTAATAACATTATTATTATTATTGTTATTATTATTATTGTTATCATTATTATTACTATTTTTCGGTCACCAGATTTATCGCGTCAAATTCTTTAAGTTATCTCAATAGAAATCTTCCTGTACAGCCGAAGCACTTAATACGCATAATTAACATATATTTTCGGTTTTTATCGCTGCATATTAGTAAGATTTTATTCATGTAACAATTAGCTCCAATAATACATTTACCAAACACAAGATTCCGGTATTAAGTAAAAATATTTCATCAAAAAGGTATTTTGACCACCTATTCCGTTATTCTGTGAAGTTTGCGTAACTAGTAAACTAAAGTTTAAATTCATTGTTGGCTGTATTACAAATATCATAGCTCAAAACACGAACGTAACATTTACCATTCTCTGACTGGTTATGACGGTCTGTCCAGTTTCCATCTTCGCAGGAATACGATTTCAGCCGACCATTCTGTAGTCGATATCCGTCTTTGCAAACGAAAACAGCCTCATCTCCAGAAGGGAAAGGCAAGGAATGGCTGCCGTTACTTTGTTGTTTCCTTTTCAAAATGGCGCCATCAGGTTTCTTTAATTTCTCTTCTTTGCACGTGTTTAAAGCACGCTTGTGTCGCGACATTATGCCTCTCTGAGCAGCGATGGCAGTAGTTTGGAACACAATTACAGCCCAAAGTAGACGAGAGAATTTCATCTTATGATCGGTTACCTGACCACTCCAACGACACTAGTTCACGCTTCAGCTGTTTTTCAATATTTTATACGCATAAGTACCTTTCTCCAATCTTCTTTCTCATGCCTCGAGAAAAAAAAATTTAACGACAAACAACATCCGCTTACATCTAGATAAATTGCCAAACACACGTTTTGATGTCTTAGTTCTGTAGCTTCGTTAAAAGATACCTTTCTTTATTCTTTAGCGCGACAGACAATATTCACACGAAAATTTATTCCTTTTGTTTTGGCGAGAAGAATATTTTAAACTTTCTGCCACGAAATGCTGCGTTACTTTTTTGTCACGGGACGAATGCAAAGCCTCCTCTCATTGGCCTTTAATTTCTCGTCTGTTAAATTCGAAGTCAGGGGACGGTCATATTTCGATGAATATGTAGGTGATTTTTTTTAACGCATTTCGCCAGTTATCGGTAACACAACTTAGTCAGGCAACCAGCTAAGGAAACCGTGGTGCTGCGTCGGAGGGGAGGGGAGGGAGGGGCAATACAAGATAATTTGGTTTTATCAACTGAGTTGATCATGTAAAGATTGGCCACTCAGACAGTCAGACAATTAATCGGTTGGTACTTTGGTCAGTTAGTCAAGCAGGTTGTCGGTCAGATAGGCTGTCATGCCTTAAATAAATTGTTCAACAACCACAATTAAACTGAAGATAGATAGATAGATAGTTTATTACCAAATAAAATACATTGCAGCCATAGGCTGAATTGCGTGCTTTTCACAATCTTTGATTATATAAGACTATATAAGACAACCAATTACAAAAATGCTAAGAACTAAATAAAATTACTAATATAACAAATATAACTAATATACAGCAGTGGAATAGCTAAAAATCCAGGTTAGCACACGCGCACATAGCCGGGATAAATGAAGATTTAAAACAATCAGTGCGAAAGCGCGGCATGTTAAAAACGCGCCGATGTCTAGTATTGTAAGCTGAAAGATGCCTATCTGGCAGCAAATTATATAATTTGTGAGATGGATTTGAGACAGACAAAAATAGATCCGTACACAATTTCATGCGTCTGTCATAGAGCGAAGCTAAACCGTGCCTTTCTAAAGAATCATGGTATGACAGTTCTGGTGAAATGATGGATAATGCGCGCCTTTGGACCCTTTCAATGTCATCACTAAGACACGCAGGTAACGCATGATGGAATATTTGTGCGCAGTATTCCAGAACAGGACGTATAGTTGTACAATAAAAATTAATTATGTCATCCGCTGGAACGCGGGCTCTCTTCAGGAGGACTAAAAAGTATAATCGTTTGTTTGCTCTTTTTATAACATCATAAATAAACTCAGTTCTAACTTTTCAAACTATATTTGTGTATGAATGCACTTTAACTTGTTTGCAGCATTAGCACTAGCATACAAAAGTAGAAGGGGTACAGAGAGTGCTCGACTTTGAATCACTTTCTCCTTATCTTAAGACAAACAAAAAAGCAGAGACAAAACAAAATAAGCGAAAATAGTTTCAAAGTCTTTGACTAAGTTGATAACTGTACTTTAGACGAGAATTATCTTCTGAGGTCCTTAATTAACTATTCGTTGCTTCTAAATCTGGATGCTTCGCTGGAAAATGGTTGGCTCTCAACAATTGGCTGGACTACAAATCGCATAACGTTTTTCTACGATCTAATGATACGTAAGAAATCTACTGTAATTGCGAAAGCATCATAAAACTGCACAGAAGAGAACTAAAATGAAAACAGCCAAATTGTTTTCCTATCAAAGACTAATAAGCGGGTAAGCAAACAATTCAACAGTTAACCAAAGAAAACGTGGTTGTAAACCCAGTGCGTGGTCAAAAACTGTTTCACGTGTAGGTTAAAGGTTAATTTTCTGGCTTAAATGGCTACGCCTCAAATTGTTAAGCAAAAATTAATTATTAATCAAATATCAATCAACGTGTTAACTTGAGCCGGAAAAACCATTGTCATTTAGTTAACGGAGCACTGGATAAGTTTAGCGCTACACAGCAATAAGGTGGGTGAAATCAATTGTCGTAGTTATTCCCTATGGGTCCAACGTTCAAGTATGGAGTTGCTAAAACAACGCATTTAATACATATAACTTAGGCTTCAAATATACTGATGATTCCGAATAATTTTCTTTCATTCTCATATAATCAAACAGTTGTAATTGTACAACCTAACGCCCTAATTTTTTGTATCAGAAATTAAAAATAAAAATAATATTCTTCGTTGATGAATAACGATCATTTAGTTTGTAGAAAAAAAGGTAAATGTGAACAATTCCGATAAAATAAGTAGCAAGATGAAGCAAGAGCTTCAAAACATTCCCTATTTTGAAGAGTTTTCACCAAAAGTCGTGACTGAATCCCACTTACTTGGAAAAAAAAGGGGAAATTTTGCTTGGAACCGATAAAATAACGAGAATTTAATTGTCTGGTTTCAAAAAAAAAAAAAATTCACTGTAGGAAGCTGTTAGCGTAAGGAAATAAAGCTACCCTTAGATTAATTATCTGGTGGAAATTCAAGCCACGCCCTCTCCGCCGCTCCCATATCGGGTCCTTAGAGACAAAGAGCCCCCTGCATCAACAGGGACATTTCTCTGGGTCCTTAAACGTGTTCGTTCGTTTTGAATGTTCCCTTCGGTGGGCCTGGTTTCTGGTGATCCTTCTCGACGCGGTGACAAGCGAGGAGATTGCAAATGCCGTCTGGCTGCAATCCAACTGCAGCAATAACCAACACTACAGCGGGGTCCTAGAAGATGCCGTCCCACTTTGCACGACACAATTGCCAAAACAGCAAAAACGATTAAGGAAAAAATGACAACTGCGGCAATATAAGTTGGGTCTGTCGCGTCATCCTTGACGTTTTTTGGCTTTGAGCGTGGGATTGTTATCCTTTCTCCCCAATGCGAATCTTCCTTTGGAATAAGACCGCGGGGAAAATTCCCATTCACGTTGAACCATTTAGCTGAAAAACTCGGAGAATTTGAGTCCTTAGAAACGTAGTTTACAATCATGAAGTTTCTGTTGGTATGCGCTAAAGAGGGAGCGCCAGTTCCATTGCCAAAGGCGCAAGAAACGTTCGTATTTTTCTTGCAACAATTTGGCGATGAATCCGTGCCGCTAAAAGTCGCATTTTCCAAGTAAATGTAATTATCTTCGCAATGCCCAGACATAGCAAAGTCTGTAAACAGTAGCTTAATGTAAAAGCCTGGATCATCAGTCCACAAAGTTCTTCTGCAAGTCAGATGTCCAGTGTAATTTTTAACATCACTTTTAGGTGAGGTTATCTCGCCAACGGCTCGTCCTGTGAAGTTTACTAAGATTGGTCCACAGTTGAATTCATCGCTTCCATCCGGGCAATCTAAATTACAGTCACACTTCTTACAGATGGAGACAGCTTTGCTGCCTGATGAACAGTTAAAGACTTCGCTGCCATTACAGTTGTTAGAAAGACAATAACCTGTTGGGAAAATGAATTTAAAATAATTTAAAAAGCCTTTTCCAAGGAAGGGAACCAGCGAGTTTGGAAAGAGGAGGCCTGGAATGCTACGTTAAATTCAAGAGCCGAAATGCTCGGCAAAAAAAAATTTTCTTGAGGGGGGGATAGGAGCAGGTGGCACAGCCATCACGGTCCCTTACAAATGCCAAATTTTTCTGTGTCTTAGTTAATAAGCTTTCTCAGGCATGGCAGGATTTGGGCGAGGAAGGAAGACGTTGCCTTTTTCCTTTTGAAAAGAAAATTAGCATAATCATCAATGATTCTGGCTACACTGGTGTTGACAGCTGTCTGCGTTGTACTCTACGAATACGGTAAACTATATGTTTTCATTTCTTGAAAAAAAAATACGATAACCATAACATTTTTATTTTTTCCTCGTCGATCCTTGTCGATTGCGTTTAAGGCAATCGCTAAATGATCTCTTTGGAGTCAATGTCAATAATTGTAAGGTAACAAATTGCAAGCCGTATATAACTTGCCATTCGAATATTTACTTAACTTGCCAAAGATTTCTCATTAACGAGATGATTCGAATATTTCTTAACTGTTGAAAACAAAAACAAAAACAAAAATCGCCCATGCACTGATGATTCTGTTCTCGTTTTTTTTGGGTTTGAACTTTGATCGCAGCTGTCTGAAAGCGTTGTCGCGACGGGAAATTAAGATACTTGAGTTTCGCATTTCGGCATTAATTTGAAGAGTCAAATCACTGTGAAATTTATAAACCGTTCGTGTAAATTATTTCCCGCATTTCCGTCCAAAAACACAGGAAATCTGAGGCTGAAGTTCATCTCAGTCAATTGTGTGTAGCGGAACGAAAGTAACCAGGCAAATTTTACTTACGATACTTACCCTTGGCACAGTCACCTGATCTAAAGCCATCCCTAATACTTGACGATCGAGGCGACCAACTGCCGTTCTTCTGACAAGTCAGTGTTTGTAGCCATCCAATCTGACGAAATCCTTTCTTACAAACAAATTCAGCGTTCTCTCCCGGTAAAAACACGCTTTGGTTCCGAGCATTGGGGCGCCATTTTAGTTCGGTATTATCCTCAAAAGGTTTCGGTGGCCCGCAATTTGTCGTTGATCCTACATTTCTTGATTTAAACGGAACTTCATTCGAGGCAAGTCTTTCTATTCCAAAAATCAAGCGACGCGATGAATTTAAAAGTAAGAAAAGAAGGAGAAAAATGGCAGCCATTTTCTTAACGTTACGTTCTAAGACCACTTCCTTTCTCCGTGCTATGGCGTGACGCGTGACAAAGCTTTGATGGGCCCTTATCTCAGGAGTTCTGACGGGTCTTATGTAAATTGAACCTTTCCTTGAGAGAAGTTTCGTTTTTTTGATGCAACCGAAAGCCCAACGCACAAGGAAAAGCATCATAAAACTGCACA